TTGAGGAAATTTGCTTTACTACTCTTAGTAAGAATCAGAAATGGGTGCCATCCTCAACAAATGGGTTCCTGCTCTAGGAAGGTTGGCTACTACACACCTCTCCATCTGAAGTCAGAGGGCAGCGGGCAAGATGGGATCTGGGAAGCACATACTTAGTCCTCTTATGGAGAAATCCCTGAAGTGGCAAACGTCAATTCCACTCACACATCCATAGCCAAATATTAATCACATAGCCACATCTAGCTGCAAGGGACACTTTTCACTGGGGAATTTGGCCTGTGCCTAGCCAAAACACCAACACTATAGCAGAAAGACAGACCAAATATTGGAGGATAACTCACTACACAAGATATTTATATGCTTTATCCCTTTAATTTTATAAATATGCTAGAAAGTATTAACATATTTTCTAATATTAAGTCATCTTCACATTCCTAGGATAAATCCCACTAGATCATGAAGATTGTTTTCCTATATTGTTGGATTCTTATTGTGAGTGCTTTATTTGGTATTTTTGCATCTGTGTTTATTAAAAATATTTGTTACAGAAAGTAATAACAACACTTTCACATTTATATGGTGCTTTGCAGTTTTAAAATCATTTCATATATATTCTCTCACTTTAAAATAGATTATAATCAGGAACTGACTTTTTCTTTAAGTAGATATTAAGTATATAAATAGAAAATATCTACAAATGGAACAATGCAAATTTTTCTTACTGTTATCTAAATTCTAAAGGGCCAACAGTGAGACTGAGATTAAAGTAAAGGTTAGTGGAAAGAAAATCATGCAAGGGATTGAGAAAAGGATTTCTGATCACGTGAACCCAGGGAGGAATGCTATTATCACCCTCTGAGATGGACAGGGAAGAACAGGGCTATAGACTGCAAAATGTCTAGCATTGTGCTGGTGTTCTAGATATCCTATCGATGCAGTGTTTAAACAACCTGGTTTGAATTTATGAGTAAAGGCTTTCCTGGTTATTGAACATTCTTTGGCTTTATGAACTTTTGCTTTGATTCCTTACTTATCTGCAAATATAAAATTAGATCCTGGCAATTGAGCGGTCTCGGGAAAGGGAAGCACTAAAAATACAGGATGCTCCTGCTGTCATCTGGCAGTGGGCGGGTCATGTGTGTCCTGGTCGCACGTTTTCCCACAGGACTCAAGAGCTTTTCCAGAACACACAATAATTACATAACAGCAGCCACTCACCATTCACAAGTATAAAGTCCCTTTGGGAGGAAAATAGATGGTAGGCTGACGTAATTTTGAAAAAAAAAAAAGAGGCACTCAGCGTCACAGTAAACAGAATTTCTCAAATAGTTAGGATCTCTTTGTAGGTTGTACCCATACAAAATGTGCTATTTTTTTTTTTTTACCTTCTCTTCCCTGAGCCTTTGAGCCTTCCCCATGTCATAGATAAATAGTAGCTGCTTAGGGGCAGCATTAAACTCTGAGATCACTGCTGGGATTTCAGAGCTCCCCCCTGCTTCACCCCCATTTCTCACCTTCCCTGCCTCCCACAGACCCATAGAAGCAATTACACTGTACAATACCTGAGAGAATCTGCTAGCTTCTGACACTGTAGCTGCACATTCCAAAATGAAGCAAAGATCAGGGAATTTGATTACACTCACATAGTTGCTTATGTCTCATTTGAACAACTTAGATCCTGGAGTAGCTTTTTGCCTTGGATTTTGTGCATTGATCAGAATGACAATTCATCTAAATCCACTTAGTACCATTTTGGGGCCACCCTAGGTACCCAAATTCTTGGTGACTATTTCTATTGGGATAAATACATATCTCCAATATCACCTTTTGCCACACACAATGTATAGACTAAAGCACACATAGAAATATCCCAGAATCCCATCTATTTTTACCATAATTAACCCTAGAAAGTTATTATGAATGTTGAAAATGAATAAAGTCAAAGTCCAGATGAATAGACCCTCCCCACCGTCATTTGTACTGTTTATCTTTCTGAGTGGGTGTTATTTAATACATAGCATGAAGGCACAACAGTAGGACAAACAACACAAGCAGTGTAACTAAGCATTTAAGTTTAAAATAAATGCTTTAAAATAGTTAATTATACTTTATCCTACAGGAAGACAAAATGTTTTCTCAGGTCCCTGAAAATGGATGATGAGTAATTTAAAGCTTTGTGGAGATCAAAAATTTGTTTGCCTATTTTTAAAATGCTGAACTAGAGTTTGAAACAAGCTATCCAGTTCCAGAGCCCAACTCTTAATTGTTAGACTCTATGTTCTCTTAAATATAAGTATATAATAGGAAAATTGTAGGGGGGATATAGTGAAGGAAGATTTAGGCTATAAGATAGTATGTTAAAACTACACAATGAAAACAGCCTGGTACAGGTTCAGCAAAAGATGGGTCAACCTCATACACACAGAAACAAACAAAAAAAGTACAAAATATGATAATTTAGGGGGAAAAATAAATTGCATCCTAATCTTCCCCCTTTCTATCACGTTATAATAGTTCAATAAATACTGTATTGTTATTAAATCGCAATTAGGTTGTTTAAGATTTAAATGTAAAAAGTAAAAATATAAGGTTTCAAGAAGAGATTTTAGATGAGTATTTCTATACTCTTGGGTGAAAAAGAACTTTCTAAGCTAGATAGCAAAACTAGAAGCCATAAAAGAATATATTAGTGAAATTTGACTGCTATAACCTGTGAAACTTGTGCATGTCTCAGCATACAAAGTCTCATAAATAACCCCAACATGCCTTCCTCAAAATAATCTAATTCTAGAGCCTTAAACATGCCTAAAGAATATAAATAAAGAAATGCAAGAGAAAAAAATTATGATTCTACGATTACTCCAATAACTCTAAAATAGCTGCAGTGCTGGGATGAGCCTCTTTAGGCCAGATTAGTCCAGTATGCAAAGAAGATCATGTTTCTCTAGAGACAAAACCTGCCAGCAGCTTTAATCCCTCACAAAACCTCAGACCACATGCAGCCATTAGCCAAAGTAAATGTGAAAAGAAAAGGAACATCAGAATTGTCAGTAAATTCTGCAAAGTTGAAATTTCATGCCCTCAGTTTCAGTAATTCCCAGAAATAACAGCTAAACCCAAGCACTCTCTGGCTTTATGATTTTGCAGTTGGACCAATGCAAAGGTTTTAGAAATTTTTTAAACATATAATTGATACAGCATGCACAGACACCTTTGTACGTAGTTAACTTTTAAAGTATTTATTCAGCCTAAGTGAAACACCATCAAAGAATTTAGGATTGAAAACCCTGCATAGAGAGCAAGGTCAAGTGAAAGCCCTAAGTAGTTCTTAAGAGACTTGCGACACCCTAAACAAATGTAATCTGGTAGTTCCAGCTAGCTGACTGACCTCAGCATAGGAATAAGGCCAGCTTTAAGCAGCTATAGCAGGGTTTAATTTTGTCCTAAAACTCCAACATCCTAATTGCAAATTTGCTCCCTCCAATTTGTAGTCATCACAGGTATTAGAATATTTCTACGTGGACATAGGAGCTGTGTGCCCTAATCATCTTGCATTGTTCTCTATGGATTTGAATTGGGGTGATTCCTGAGAACCTACCCTAGTGAAATTAATATTCTCTTCCATGTGTCAGACACAGTGACATTTGAATCTGGTATCATATAATTTCTAAAAGTCCCCTTGTGGACACCAAGAACTCCTCACAAAGAGGATAAAAACTCTTATAACTCAGGCCCAAGAAAAGTGCCACTTTTGCTTCAAACTGTCTAAATAACGAGCAATGTGGTGGGAGTATTTAAGAGTGGAGTTAAAGCGGTCCTGGAATTATCTGTACTGCCTCTATCTTTTCTTTGCTTGGTATGTGGCCACACAAGCAGTTTCCATTCAATTAGGTTATATAAGCAAAAAATAATTGTGGGACTATTACTGTATGTTGGCAAATCATATTAGTGCTCTTTAAGGCTGTGGTCCCCAACCCCCAGGCTGCGGACTCATACCAGTCCGTGGCCTGTTTGGGAACTGGCTGCACAGCAGGAGGTGAGCGAGCAAAGCTTCGTCTGTATTTACAGCCGCTCCCCATCATTCACTTCACTACATAAGCTCCGCCTCCCGTCAGATCAGCAGCAGCATCAGATTTTCACAGGAATCCGAACCCTACTGTAAACTGTGTATTCGAGGGATCTAGGTTGTGCTCCTTATGAGAATCTAATGCCTGATGATCTGAAATGGAGCTGAGGCGGTGATGCTAGTGCTGGGGAGCAGCTGCAAACACAGATGATCATTAGCAGAGAGGTTTGACTGCACAGTAAATGCAAAGCACTTGAATCCTCCCGACATCCTGAAACCATCCCCCCACGCTCCCCAGTCCATGAAGAGTGGTCATCTATGAACCCAGCCCTTGATGCCAGAAAGTTTGGGGACTTCTGCTTTAATTCCTTTTTTTTTTTTGGTTGCTTGGATACTCACTATAGAAGAAAATTGCCTTGGAAATAAATGATACACAGAAATCCTGTAACTGAATATTCAGAATGTCCGTGTGGGGGAAAGGGAGAGAAGGGAGAGAGCTCTCAGACAGATGGCATGAAACTGGGCATTTTACCCTTTTGCCATGGAGTGCAAAGTTCCTTTTCCTCCTCAGGGGATCCATGGAATGCAACACATAACATCGAACTGGGCTGACGGGGAAGGATCCGCCTTTACCAGACCTGAGGTTAACACTTTAGAGATGAAAAAGAGAAGAGCGTGATCATGGCCTCGCTGGTACCAACGTCATGAATTCAAGTTAGGTTCTTTCCTCCTATACAATATAGCAACATCCCTGGGTCAGTAAAGGAAGAGAAAATTTGACTTGGTTTCTGGCTATTAGGTCTTCTTAGCCTGGCGTAGAGTTCTCCAAGGCAGGGTCATGATTTGGTTGCATGTTGCTCAGTCTAGACGCGTCACTCTGATACCCCCACAATCTCCCCTGACCTTATTCCCGTTCCTGCCCCTCTCGCCACAGGTGTGGAAGACATCGTGGCCATAATGATTCCGGAGCCGAAAGGGAGGGAGATAGTGAGCCTGCTGGAAAGAAACGTCACCGTGACCATGTACATCACCATCGGAACCCGGAACTTGCAGAAATATGTGAGCCGCACTTCGGTTGTGTTTGTCTCCATCTCCTTCATTGTCCTGATGATCATTTCCCTCGCATGGCTGGTCTTTTATTACATCCAGAGGTTTCGGTATGCAAATGCCAGGGACAGGAACCAGGTGAGTAACAAAAAGTTAAAAAAAAACTTTAAAAGGTGGTTACAACAGCAACATATATGATTGTATAAACTTTGCACATCACAGAAAATACAAAGACAGAAACAAAATTGCCTATCATACCCACACTCAAGATAAACACTGCTAACATTTGCTGTATAGTTTTTCAGAAATATTCCAAATATACTTATTTTGATGTTTTACTAGTATCGTGTAAAATGGCAGTCATTTGTCCCACAATGGCCTTATTTTTTTTGGACAGTTATTTATTTAATAACCCACGTAATAAAGGGAGAAAGGGGAAGTGAGCTGAGATTATGCCAATAGTGTGAACATAATTTGGAAAGAGCCAGGATTTCCTCCTTGTGAAAAGAAGAAGAAAAGGAGATAAAAATTTAAAGTTATTTTAAAAAGCACTTAAGCATATAATATACACATGGTATAAAATGCAAAAGGTATAAACTGGTATATAATGAAAAGTAATTGCCTTCCCATGTGTGTGCCTCAGCTACTCAGTTCCTTTGCCTGGAATATCTTCTTTTCCAGGGGTATTTTATGTTCTTACGAAAACATTGCTTGTATGTGTGTGTGTGTGTTTAAATGATGGTGTACTTAATTCTATACCCTTCTCTCTTTCTTCATATTGGGCATTAATTCACTTCCCACAAGCCAAGCTGCCTTCTCATTTCTAATGACTGCATAGCATTTCATTGTCTGTATGTGTCACATTTATTTAACCAACATCTATTAATGGACACATTTTCTCATTGAAAAAAAATGTACACATAACACTTAGCACATTTGTGAGTATGTCTGTAAGGTAAACCTTGGAAGTTCAATCCCTGGGGCAATGGTATGTATGTTCTAAACTACCATAGGTACTGCCACATTGCCAAAAAAATTTGAACCAATTTATTTAACAGTACATGAAAATTACTGTGTCTGCATATCATCACCAAAACAATATGTTACAGCTTATTAGCGATTTGGTAAGTTAAAAATAGTATCATTTTTTTTTATTATGTTAATGTTAAGTAATGTTAAACATATTTTCAAGTATGGTAGAAAAAGTAAAGATTTTTCTGTGAAGTATCAGCTTTTAACAATTGACCACTTTTCAGTTGAGTTTTTGGTCATTTTCTTGTGTATAAACTCTTTATTGCCCAAAGGATTAATTAATCCTTTGTTGTAATAGAGGCCAAAGGATTAATTAATCATTTGTTGTAATAGAGGATTCAATTTCCCCTCACCTTTTCATTGTCTTTGATTTTATCTGTGGTGCTTTTTGCCATGCAGAAATTTTTGGATTTTGCATAACTAAATTTGTTAATCTTTTTTAAAATAAAGATTCTATATAGTCAAGGTTTATAATATGTTATGGGACACATATAGATAGTAAAATGGTTACTATAGTGAAGCAAATTAACATATATAATATTTCACACAGTTTTTTGTGACAAGAGCAGCGAAAATCTACCTATTTAATAAAAATTCCTAATACAAAACAATTTCATTAACTATAGTCCTCATGTCGTACATTAGATCTCTGGACTTCTCTATGCTGTGTATCTGCTACTTTGTGTCCTTTGACCTGCAGCTCCCCATTTCCTCCTCCCTGCCCCTTCCCTGATAACCACTGTTTGATTCTCATCTCCGTGTATTTGACCCTTTTGAAAAATCAGATTCCAGCCTGGGCACAATGGCTCACGCCTGTAATCCTAGCACTCTGGAAGGCCGAGGTGGGCGATTGCTCGAGGTCAGGAGTTCAAAACCAGCCTGAGCAAGAGCGAGACCCCGTCTCTACTAAAAATAGAAAGAGATTAATTGGCCAACTAAAAATATACAGAAAAAATTAGCCAGGCATGGTGGCGCGTGCCTGTAGTCCCAGCTACTCGGGAGGCTGAGGCAGGAGGATTGCTTGAGCCCAAGAGTTTGAGGTTGCTGTGAGCTAGCCTGATGCTATGGCACTCCAAGCCAGGGCAACAGAGTGAGACTCTGTCTCAAAAAAAAAAAAAAAAAAATCAGATTCCACATGTGAGATCATGTAATATTTTTCTTTCTGTGTCTAGCTTATTTCACTTAGCATATATCCTCCAGTTCCATCCATGTTATGGCAAATGTCAGGATCTCCTTTTTAAAAGCAGAATAGTATTCCGTTGTGTGTGTGTGTGTGTGTGTATGTGTGTGTGTGTATTGCATTTTCTCTATGTATTTGCCCATCAATGGACACTTAGGTTGTCTTGGCTGTTGTGAATAATGCTGCAGTGAATATGGGAGTGCAGATATCTTTACACTGGTGACTTCATCTCCTTTGGATATATATCCAGAAGAGGGATTACTGGGCAACATTCTATTTTTAATTTCTTTAGGAACCTCCATACTGTTTTCATAATGGCTGCGCTAATCTACATCCCCACCAACATTGTGTAAGGGTTACCTTTTCTCCACACCCTAGCCAATGTTTACCTGTCTTTTTGATAATAGCCATCCTAATGGATATGAGATGTTATCTCATAGTGGTCTTAATAGAGTTTTGCATAATAAGACTTTTCTATAGGCCGAGACTACAGAGGAACATTCTCTCACATTTTCACCCTTGACTTTTTAAATTTCATTTTCGTGATTAAATCTTTATAGAGAACTTATTTTAGTATAAAAAATGAAGTAGAAAGGCAAGAGTTTTTTTCCCAAATGGCCTACCATTTTTTGTAACTGGCATTTATTGAATAACTAATCTTCTCCCCATGTGTAGTATTCCCATTTAAAGTATGTTAAATATCTATATATTCTTGATTTTATCTCTATGCTTTCCAAGCTGTACTATTAATCTGTTATTCATACTCTAGTATTATTTTGATTACTACAGAATTATAATATTTCTCATAGCTGTTCATGCTAACTTCGTTTACTACTTTTTCATTCTTATCTTTATATGAATTTAGAACCAGTATATCATTTTTTAAATTTATAGAATAATATAGGAGAAATTTATAATCTTATGATGTTGAATCTTCCTATCCAAGTATAGTATATTTTGCCCTTTATTCAACTCTTATTTTTATTCCCAGTAGCATTTTTAATTACTTATTAATTGTGGACATTTTTCTTATGTTTATTTTTAGGAATTTAATTATTATATTGCTATTATAAATTAAAATTCTTTTTTTTCATGTAGGAAGCTTTTTTTCTATTCATAGCCTCATTATCACCTTAATAATAATATTTATAGTATTTATTATATGCAGGCATGTTGTGAGAGTTCTGTATGTATATTTTTACCTACTTAATCCTCTTAGTAGCCCTATAATAGATTATTTTGTTGTCCTCATTTTACAAATGTGGAAACTGAGCACAGAGAGATTAAGTAATTTGCCCAAGGTTACACAGCTAGTTACTAATAGAGCCAGCAATTAAACCAGCAGCAGGACTCCAGAGTCCATGCTTATAACCCCTACATTGTAGTATTTGTGATTGTTTATATTAGTTTATCAGAATTATGTTAACAATACCCATAGTCAGTGATAACTTCTTTCAAATTTTAAGCATCTCATTTTTTTCTGCTATCTTATTTCACTGGTTTCTACCTCTGGAATAGCCTAAAGTTAGAGTGAACATATTTCTCTTCATTCCATAGGAATGAAGATTTAATGGGAATGGGAATATCCTGAATTTAATCAGATTGTTGTTATCATTTCTCCATTTTATTATTTCTCCATGCAGTCTTCTATGTCAAGATATATATTCTATCATGTTATAAAATACATAATGTTAGAAATGTCAACTTAGTCCTATTTTATTAAGAGTTTTCAATCAAAAATAGATGTTTAATTTTAACAAATGCCTGTTCAGTAGCCATGGTCTAAGTTTTCTCTTTTGAGCTATTCAAAGGAATGGGCTATATTAATGGATTTCCCAGCATGAATCATCCTGAACTTTCAGTATATACTCTTATTCTAATGTGTGCTAGATTATATTATTAGCATTTTATTTAGTGTATTTATTTTTTACCTTATATTTATATGTGAAATTTGCCCACTGTTTATATTTTTATCATGTTTAGGTAATGGCTATACAGCTTTATAAGAAGAATTTGCAAACTTTCCTCCATTATCTGTAATCTAGAGCTGCAATATGCAACATGGTAGTAACTTGCCACGTGTGGCTATTTAAGTTAAAATTAATTGTATTGAAATAAAATTTAAAGTTCTGTTCCTCAGCCACTAGCCACAGTTCGCGTGGCTACCATATGGCAGTGCTTATATAGAACATCCTCATCAGTGCAAAAAGCCCTCTTGGGCAGTGGAGCTCTAAAGCATTTTAAATAGCACTGGAATTAGCTGATTCTTAAAGTATTAGCAGAAATGTTTTTGTAAGTTAATAAGGTCTGAGCTCTTGTTTGTTTTAGGAGGATGGCTCTTCTTTATTTATTTTATGATAACTGATCTGTTTAAATTTTCTGTAGCTTTTGGAACAATTTTTTAAACATTGTTATTTTTTTCTGATTATCAAAATGGTATATACTCATTTTAATAAAGTCTGGCAATCATAGAAAAACAGTAAGAGAAAAGACAATTCACTCATTATGCTATTGAATTGCTGACAATTGAAAACATTATCTTTCAGGTATTTTTAATCCCCTACATATATATTCAGTAAATTGCCATTATGTGTGTCTATGTATACATGAGACACAAACACATATACGTTTTATGTTCTACTTTTTATTAAATGGTGACCATTTCCCGTCATTAAATAATCTTCAAAAACATGGTCTTTGTGGCTATGTAGTAGTCAGATTCCACCACTTACCAAAAGTGGAAAAGTTGTGTAATTTCTTTATGTGTTGGTTTTCTGAACTTAATAAGGATATACCTATTTTTTTTATTTTCGTTTTTCCTAATGAGGGGTCCTAGACAAGATTTATGCCATCTCTAGTATTTTTTTTTTCTTTTTTTCTTTTTTTTCTTTATTTTTGGAGACAGGGTCCTGCTCTGTTGCCTGTG